ACATGGATTATGAATGCGATGTAAAATACATCTTATTGAGTCTTTCTGGAAGGGTGGGTACCTGGTATCTGCAGGTTGCTATTACAGTATATTGGCATCATCTAATATATATTTTTTTATTTAAATGTTCTTGCAGGTATATTAGGAGGAACCAGTTAGATGCTGGGTTTCCCCTCTTTGAATCAGTCTCTGAAATGGCCTAGATTTGTGGAGTTTCATGATGTGAATGAAAATGTACATCAAATGGAGTATCATTGCATGAGCTGTCAGTATTTGAAAATATGAAAGGATATGGAACTGTTAAAACGTGAGACACATGATCTGTGTAGAGAATGTGGTCAAGGATGAGATATCTTCCCGTGCAAAATCTTTCCAAGGTTATTTCATCTAGGTAGTTTTGCATGTTCTTGGAATTAATTACAAGCTCTAGAATGTTCTTTTTGGTTAGTTGTTAGTGAAGTGCAATTTCGATTGTCACATGTGGAGTAAAATCTAAAGCACCACCGAGGTTACCAGTTAGTCAGGCTACAACATGTAAATTCTTGGTGTTTGCCAAACTATTTTTGTTGTATGTCAAAAACTGGAAGGTTGTGTACGTATCCACTATATTCTAATATCATTATTGTCATGCAAGTAATCTTTATTTCGTATCAGGTTTCCATCGTAATCATGTTTTTTATTCTAATAATATTATAATATGTGATCAATGATTTTTCGAAACCACCAAAGCGTATACACCATTTTGGATGTTCAATTTGTGTTATCCTAAATGTCACCGTAGTGTTAGCACGGGCAATATACTAGTTATTTTTAACACTCCACCTCTACAGAAAGCTTGTCCAGAACAGTACAAATTGTTCTACATACTGTCGTTGGTGTCGGCACCAGCCACTCAGCAGTCAGCAGTGCGGCTGGGCGCTAAGGACGGTGAAGTCTTGTGGCGTCTTCCACGCGTAGGTGAAGGTGAGCAGAGTACCTCTGGGGATCTGCCGGCCACCGGCGACGAGACAGTGCTGGCCGTCTACCGGACGGATCCGGGTCGCGTCCACCGGCTCGACGCTGGGCAGGCCGAGGCAGCGCACGTAGATGCTGCCCTGTGGGTAGGAGCACTGGATGGCTATAGTCACCTTGTACTCCGACTGCCCCTCCACCAGCCTCCCCGTCTTCTTCACGGAGATCTTGATGTCCGACAGGCGACACACCCTTGCTGCGCGTTGCCGGCGCGCGCATGGCCACAGATCACGGCTGCTAGAGGACGAATAGGACGGTGGCAGCATTGACCGTGTAAGCCATTTGTATCTATCGATTTGCTTCTGTGATTCGGCGTGAGAGATGTGAGTAATTTGCGTGCGCGGTGAAATGAAGAATTTGATGTGTATACAAGGCCTTTATATATAACCAGAGAAGATTGCTCATATAGTAATGATCAATTTGCATTTTACAAATAAACCCAGAGGTAAATGCGTCGATTTGCTGCAGTTACGGTACCTAATTTACTTAACACGGTGATCTGATTTCGGGAAGAGTCAATGTGATTCTATTCTAATTACAGCATCAGTAACTTCCTTTTCTTCAAAAAAAATCCGTTATTAAACGTGTACATTATTATGGCAGAAAATATGTTACGCACTGGTTTCTTTTTTTTTTCTTTTTTTTTTTTGCGAAGGCACGCATTTGGTTTCTTATCAATGCATAGCTAGCACTGCACCCCTGAACGCACGCACATAAATCCACATCTCTTTTGATGGGCAAAATTGAAAAAAAAAAACAAAACTGCTCTCCAGCAACTCCTTATCTCAATCTCAATCTTTCTAATCACGTTGAAATATATATCTGCGGGCTTATCGATCGGTCAATCTGGAGGTGGAAGGATGTGGAGAAGAGTACGAAAGGGTTTACAATGCAAATGTACAGGAGAGAAATAAAGTATAAAAATTGTTACGGTGATTTAAAAATAGTGTATGAATCCTGACGTAAAATTGTATTCTATATTTTATGAGCGAGATTTCTATATTCCTGACGTAAAAGTTGTTGGAGGAATCCAACAAACATTCTCCCAACGTTTTTTAGCCAGTTGAAAAACTCATTGATTTACCAAAATTTTTTAGAACTATTGGAAATGCTCTAATCTGTTCTAAAAATCTCAGAACACATCAATTATTCCAAGATGGTGGCATGATTGTTCTTTGGTTATCCTGCACATGCAAACATAAAATAAATTTCAGTTAGTTACATTTTTTCACATGCGGACACCTCCATGCTCTAGTGTAGGTGGTGGATGAGGTAAGAAAATTCTATTGTTTGGGAATAGTCTTTCACTACATGATATAAATATTATTGATTTCATCAAACTCGTTGACTAGATGAAACTAGATTGACACATTAACAAGAGATGTACACTTATGATGCCATTCTAAGAAAATCTTATTGTCCTATTAAAACATGTAGTCTAATTACAGAATAGATGGAACACGTAAATATTATATACTGCTAGTGCTAGCAATTTAATTTCATGAAGAAAATAAATGTTCTATTAAAATAACCAGCAAGGAAGCTAGGTCATGCCAGCAATACTATAATTCCAACACATCACATAAGAGCAAATAATTCTAGCACAGCACTGTCTTCTAGCCTAGAAATGTAACTGACATTCCAAAGTCATAACTGATGGGCATAAGAGGAATCTAGAATCTGAGAAAATTCTCACACTTATGTATACAATCACTGAAGACTACATTTCCAGCTTGGCTCATGGAAGCACAAGTATGCACATAAGCAGAAGCTTGTTCGCAGGTGTCAAACTATTGAATTGAAGTATTCAGAGGTGTCAAACTTTATAATTTCAGAAGTTGTTGAAAATTCCATATCAATATATTGCAGATGTCGAGTTAACTGTTTCTGCAATTGGCAGAAAGTGTGTCAGACTAATCACCTATTACTACTGGATGGTACCATCTACCAGGTTGTCCAAATTAAGACTACATTCCAAACTTTATTTAAGTGTATTCTGGTCTGACACTTGTAAGAAATGTATCATACAAATCAGATCGCAACTAGGCAAGATGATCATTTCAAAGTACAAATGTGGATTTAACTTAACTGCAATTTACTAAACATATTGTCAAAATGAAACTCTAAATACAAGGAATATGGAAAAAGGAGCAGCATGAACCAGTAAGCTTACCTCGAAAAAAAAAACCAGTAAGCAACTATGAATTCAGTCTCGTAGGCTAACAGTTAGGACTTTGATGTGGTACCTCCAAATGACTGTGAGCCATTCATTTGTTTCGATCTGAAGGTCACGATCAACTATTACCTCCTGAAATGTATATTTATTTAACTTTTTATTTTATAAAATAGGATAAATAAAGTAAGTTTTAGATATAAAAATCTTTTTTCTAGATTTGATTGTTGCATGCGTGATCCGACTGATATAGTAAATCTTTTTTATTTTATAACTTTGTACTTGATACATTTTTATTACCATTATTTTGTATGTAAATTTATACACTTAGATTGATTTTGCATGTGGTAGGAATTGCATGTGGTGTACGTGATTATTAGCGTGTCTACGTGGTTAGACTGTGTAGTGGTTAGCGTGCGTGTGTGTACGTGGTAACATGAGTAGGGGTAACGTGTTAACGTGTCAGGTAACGTGTAGGTCTAAAGTGCAGGCAACGTGTGTTAGCCATGTGTTACAGCAGGTAACGTGTCTATACATGTTATTAGATGATTGTTGGTAACATGAGCATCTCCCGTGATTAGCCTGTGATTAGGGGCATCAGCATGCATGTGGGGAATCGGCATGTCTTTAAAGGAATTTCCCTCCCGTCAATCCGTCATCAGGGGGGTGCGGAGGTCTTATTTTTGTTTTATTAAGTAATTCATAAAATATGAAAAATCAATGGCTCAGATTGATTTGAGATATTACCTTCTTAGAGGTAAAGTTTGTACCTTAGCATTGCCCTAACAGTTACGACTGAATTGACACCATTTAACCTGCTGACTTAGCTAATTGCTCTATCAATTTACTTTGGTCATCGTGTCATGTGACTTTGTTTGAAAAATTCAAATTTTGAATTTCAAAACTGTGGAAACTTGAAACAACATATTGAAAGAGCATATGATTTCAACTGGAAAAATCATGAACATAAAAGTTGTAAAACTCATTAAGATCTACAACTTTTATTTTGGTTATCTTTTCATGTGACTAAATTTGAATAATTCAAAATTTGAATTTCAAGAAATGACAACTACAAACAAAATTTTAAGACACCAAATGATTTGAACTAAAAAATTCATGAAAATAAAAGTTGTAGTACTCATCACGATCTACAACTTTTATTTTGATCATTTCATCATCCGACAAAGTGCTAGTACACATTGCTCATAAATTGACATATCTCTCGTATAGTTTCATAAACTATGTGAGAGATTTATAAATTTGTGAACAATGTGTACTACCACTTTGTCGGATGAAGGTCGGATGAAGAAATGACCAATATAAAAGTTGAAGATCTTGATGAATTCTACAATTTTTGTATTCATGAGTTTTTTAGCTGAAATCATTTAGTATATCAAAATCTTGTTTGTAGCTGTCATTTCTCAAAATTCAAAATTTGAATTGTTCAAACGAAGTCACATGAAAAGACTGCAAAAATAATAGCAGTAAGAATACAATAATTTGATAGAGCATAATTTTAGAAAATTTTAGGAAAAAAATCATCACATTTAAAGTTAGTATGAGAGAGAAAGACTAGTTACAAGTTTTAACTACCGATTAAAAAGAGAGAACCTTGTGGTCATGTTCTTGATTTTCCAGTATTTAAACAATTTAGTCATGTTAAAATGACATGTGGGGTCCAAGCATCAGGTATATATATAGTGCATTGTTGTTTTATTTTTCTGCGTGGGTCAATGCTGGGTTCTTCATACTTGGAACATTTACGTGTATGTACTAACAAAAAAGCAAAAGAACCACCTCTATCAAAAAGAGAGAAATGGCGCAGCGGTATGACTCAGTTTATCTGGGAGGTTTGGTGTTCGATCCTAACCGGCGACAAAGGTTTTGCTATTTTCTTTCTTTTTGGTAAAACGAGGAATAAAATGTTAAAGGGATAAAATAATCCCAGAAAATCACAAAAGCATACTTGTTCCGGTGGTTTGCTTGCTCGGTTTCTGTTGTGAAACGGTGTCTCAACAGACACCTGTTCATGAAATGATCTCATCCATCAATTACAAGATTAGTGGATAGAATTAGACAGTTAGTTTTACTCCAACGGGTATGTCCTTTGGGAACAGTCCTTCACTTGTATAAATATATTTTAAAGATCAATGAAAGAGATAGTTCTTTCAAATCTTATTTATTTACATTCACGCTTTAACACGTTATCACGCACTTTCGCTCTCCACCGAGTGAATCACGATCGCAAATTGGCATTTATTCGAGAAGGATGTTGTTCTTTCGGAGATGGGCCTACAAGCAGATCCCTGGAGAAATTTCATTCCAGTGCTACTCAACGCCGAAGATAGAGAACAAGCACGAAGAAGTTCACGCTGGTCCTCGCTGCAAGATCGCCTGCGTTCTCAGTTCTCAATCATCAGCGTTCTGCATAAAAACAAAGATCCAGACGTCTCCTTCGCATGAAGAACATCTTCGGAGGAAGAAGAATCACGGTAAAACCATCATCGTTTACCTCTCGGCACTCGTCATTGCGGTTGCTTTTCTGTGCCGCCCTTCGCAAGCGGACCGATCCGCGCTGCACGGAGGTTGTCGTGGCTTGGAGCGACGGCTGTCCCACACGGCGTCCCTCTTCGAAGCACGCAACTGCACGCCCATGGCAAGCCTGGCGGCGGTTGGCGTCTTCAGATCAGCCCCAGCAGCGTCCACGCTTCAGGATGGAGAGCCCGCGTCTGGCCAGCAGCGCCGCCTGCGGTTGGCAACTCCAAGGCCAGGCGGCCTTCGCGCCGTGGCCCCGTGCCTGTGGCCTCGCGTCGCGGCCGGCGACCACCGCAGCGGCACGGACAGAACCGCCCGCGCGGTCTTGTGCCCGTTGCAGGCATCCTCGTCCTCGCGGTACTGGCCCCCGTGGCCGTGCACGCACGCAAGCCCCGCACTCGCGACCGTCCTGCGGCCGACGTCAGCGACCTCGCGTCGCGGCCGGCAACCCCAGCGCGACTCCGAGCTCGCGGCTGGCGACGGCGGCGTCGTGTACCCCGGCTGCGGTTCTTGGCTGGGCCCTGGCATGCGGCGGCGATGGTTGTGCCCCGTTCGCCCAAATCAGCAACGGCGGCTCCGCTATGACCGTGGCACGCGGCGACGGCCGGCCCAGTCCGAGTCCCCTTCCCAAGCGGCATCTCGTCCGGGCAGGGGGACGGGATGGATGGGGAACCGTCTGCTCGAAGATAATCTTCCTGGGAAAGGATAAGGATGTGCGTTTTTGCATAGAAATTCTTCTCTCCTATGAATTACATGATAATCCTAATAGATTATTGGTGTATTCCAGATTTATGTTTAAGCCCTCGGATTTTAACATACCACGGTGTACTATATTTACCCCACGTAAATGCTCATTTTACACCTTAGGTTTAAAATGCATCATGATGCATAATATTTACCTTCTGTAAATAAGTATTTTTGAGACACATGTGTCATCAAGAATTGCATCATGGCATGTACTGCTGCAGATGAATTTACCACTGTAAATTCGCTTTCGCTTTTCAGATCCTAGGTTTTCTGAAAATTTTTAGTACTGTTCAAAGCGTTTGTTCAAATTGACAAACCCAATAAACATGTGTTATTATTACATTGTTCAAAATGTTTGTCTAAATTGGCAAACCCAATAAACATGTAATATTATTATCACGACCTTCTTATTGTAATTACTTGTCATTTGCAATTTTCATTTCATGTTAAGCCTATTCATGCTTTATTTAAAGCTTATAGCGGTTACATTTTTAATGTAAAATCCATTAAGTGTATTACCTCATCATTTCTATATAACACAAATGTTCCACATTGTATGTCGGCCATACATAAGGTAGCGCCATAGTTGCTGCTGTGGGATCTACGCTAAATTCTTAGTGACTATCCTCAATGTGCGTACCCAACATCATAAATTGGAATATACAGTCTACATCTTTTCACAAAATGACTACCATTAATCAGCATTCCTATTGGCCATACACAAGGTAGCACCATAGTTGCTACTGCGGGATCTACACTAAGTCCACAACTTAGTGATTATTCTCAACGTGCGTACCCAATTCGTTTGCAGATTAACTAAGGTCTACATCAATCTTTTGATGATTACCTTAAATGTGTTTATACAAATTGCATACACCACTTGGCATCTACTGTTCAACAGACTATGTCCATGTTATTAGAGGTCTACATTTTTATGATGACTACCTCTAATGTGTTAGCATAAATGAGGTTTACACTATTAGTGAGATAGATCTTGTCTCCTATTTATTTTGCATTAACTAATACAGCATCACCATAGCAATTTTAAATTTACCCTTAGCGTAAATTCAGAAAATCTATGGTTTAAACCTTGTTAGTATAATAGCCAGCAAAGAGTTTGATCTCTTGCTCTTGATGGTCACCATTATCTAACATGGTCAATGGACGTAATGTTAAACTTGATGTTCTATGGATTCATGGTAATATTTGATGCTCCTCATAAGAGAGTATCACCACTTATGATCAATTTAAATATGAAGTTTTATTTAAATAAAGCATCATATACATCCAGGTCACACGTATGTGTATCTCAATGGGTGCAAATCGAAGCACTATATGACTAGCTTTCAATAAGTGATACGAACAACACAAGGCAGTCATTCTGCCCAATGCCAACCATGATTGGCCACAACTTTATCTCTAGGATCATAAGTCTACTTGAGAATATAATTATGTTGTTCCAAAATATCTCCCAACATTGCGTTTTCGCGAAAGCACACAACTTACCAAATGTATTCTAGATTAATTCCTACATTACTTCAGGTCCAAGTGTATGATAAACTCTTATCGAGGAATCATCATTAGCATTATAGTGATGCTCTATCATCTGAAGTACATTGAATTTCTAGAATCATTACAAGTTCGATGCCATGTAGTAATGACATCCATAGAACTTTAATGGTAAGATTTAACGCAAAAAGAAGTAGCAGCCCCGTGCATTCTTTAGGGTCAAGGCATTTCCCAAATATGACAGAACCATATTTTGTTCCAATTGTGTATGTTACTGTCACACAACTTGAAAATGTCATGCCTTCAAATATTTAATTGATCGGTATTACAAATTCATTGGACATAAATATCCGGCTCAACAATAAAGATATGAAGCACGTTTCTATCTTCAACCTGACACTACCAGAAAGGCTAGTTGTTCACAACAAGTTTCATGAAGAAACCAAGTAGCTACCTAACACTTAATTAATAAGTGGGTCTTATGAGCATGGAGAGCATGATCATCGAATTTACTTCGCTTGATCCATTTTGGAGACCAAAATTTGTCTTCCATTTATAAACATACCTAGCTTCTACGTCCCATTTCGGTGTTGTAATATAAAATGTTGTCATCAATTTCAATTGAATATCACAATAATGTGCCATCACATTTGATATTCCATTAATTAATTTGTATGTAATCTATATATCTGCAAAGAATGTCATTATATTCTTCATGCTATATATAGACCGATACGGGAGTCAATCCAAATGCAAAGAGAAATTTTGCCTAGTGGATAGTTGCACCACAAACTCTATATATAGGGAAGCAAAATATTTCTATACTCTTACATAGAGACAAGAAAATATTTTGTTAATCGCTTGACGCGATGTCATGATAGTGGGCTTTGGTCGTGCTACTATCATACTCCCTATAGGTACTCAAATAATAATCATGAATCCATTCTTGTATTCTGATTCCAGAATGTACCCAATTAAAATTATAGAGATATTCGTCAATGTGGTTTTCATACGGAAACCGCAAGATGACAACTAAGAGGAGTATTTTTCTCTTAACAGCGGATATGGCAATACTTAAACAAAACATCCTCAGTTCGATTTGACTACACATACATAACATGTATCCAACGTTGCGTACAAATAATTCTCTCTTGATGTCAACAAGACTTGGCACATTTGCCTTGGTTATTCAACTATAGAGATAACTTGAGAATTATTGTCAATTCTATTGGTCATAGCATCAATATGAGCCACTACATTTCTTAAAGAAATTCAAGAACATACATGTGACTCTATTTACCATTTTATGGACCATAAAGATACTATGTAATGCACATTTATGCATCTATAATATAGTCCCAGGTGTGTCTCTTAGTCATGTATCAACTGGATTCTTGTAGTGTAAGCTATTACCATAAACTAGCCCACACCATGTTTGAATTCAGTCTTGTAGGCTGACAGTGCAGCAGCATTCAAGCGCCCTGTTCGTTTGGGCTGGTTTGACTTATAAGCCATGGCTGAAAGTATTGTTGGCTGGTTTGATGTGAGAGAAAAACATTGTTCGTTGGCTAATAAGCCATGGCTTATAAGCCAAATACGACCAAGCGAACAGGCTGCTATCTAGAAAAAGAGCTTAAGTTTCAGATATACTATATGAATTAAGAATTCAGCACAAGTTTCAAATATACTATAGGACAAATAGCCAGTGTGCAGTAAATCCATATGATACATGATCTCAGTCATAAGCATGGAAAAAGAAAAGCATGGTTAAGAAAATCTGATACACTGCCTTTATGATGTCTATCAGTACAGTACATCAATTGTGTTAAAGCTATAGGGAATATCTAGCGATTGTCGGACAGAGCCCAACTCATACTTCAGAAACTATTTAACTAAATAATTTGATACTTAGTGCTAATCATCCAGAGAGTCCAGATTATGCATCCCATATTCGCATGGCTCGTAAGAGGTCAGTTTTGCTCATAAGACTGGGTTTCATTCAACAGCATGATTCTAGAGGAAAGTTCAGCTAAAACATAATAGCTACTTGATGCATATCATTTATCATGCATGATCAGTTATCTAGAGCTGCCATGTATGAAAGAGAATGGATTGCTGTTATCTCTATCTTGTTCTGGCCAAAATAAAACGGACCCACCCCCATGTAAGCTGATATTGAAGAGTCCTTATATAGCACTCAGCACAGAGCTGCTGAAAATGAGACCATTGATCTTCTACTTTGCTGGGTAGCAGACTAGCAGTGACCTCCAAAAGAGATTGCACTCCAACAGTCATCTTGAATGATTGGTGGTCAAAATATTCAACAGACAAAGTGGTCATTTTATTTTTGCTACCTCGTTTCTCTCTACATTTTTGTGTGGAGTTCTATTTAATGCATGGCATGCTACAGTCCCTACTCCAAGTACAATAAGCTGCCATTCTCCAATTATCATGCACCGTGGATATACACAATAAGACAGAGAATAGGACAGACAGTAAGGGAATAAAATGGAGAATGACTATTATTCAGGTAAGGATTATGCACACCTCCAAAAATGTATCTCTAGCTGAACCCCAAAGGCTGGCATTATCACTACTGATTCTGCACACAAACAAACAGGGAAAGGCAACACGAAATACAATCTCAATTTCATGCACAAATAACGGAGGCAATGGAACTTTAAATTTTGAAGTATGCGGCATCTGACAGTCAAACTAACTATGACCTATTACTATCAATATGTAGAAAGGTTAAACAAACACATCTAAGATGAAGGATTCACCTCTCTTCACAGCTTTGTATTGCAAACATTAGGCAACAAGAACAGCAAAGGTAATATTCCAAAGTGATCCAAGAGACAGGCTCTCCTGCGATGTTGAAGCAGGTCAATTTCCACTATGTATACCAGTCATGAAAATACAAAGTTAAACAAAACTATGATGCATGGAAAAAGAAAAGCATGGCTCGATATATTTTTTCGAGAATAGCCAGTGTGCAGTAAATCCATATGATACATGATCTCTGTCATAAGCATGGAAATAGAAAAGCATGGCTCGATATATTTTTTGAGAATATACTCAACACAGGCTGGGGCAGTGGGCATATACAAATATGCAGCTGGTCAAAAAATTAAGGCAAACTAGTAAGCTAGAAAGCTCCCAGGGCAGGGCAAACCCAGTGCCGGAGGCTCCCACATGAGTTGGGTCTAGGGAAGGGAAAAACCGAGGCAAGCCTTCCCCCCGCAAAATCTGTGGAGAGGCTGCTTCGAACCCGTGACCTAGTGACTCAGTGAGACAGCTCTCACCACTGCACCAGGCCTGCCCTTCCAAGTAACATCTCATAGCAAATTTGAATTTACCAAAATCACAAGCTATCAGTAGTACACATGCTGGTCAAATTTGTTATTAACATATTCACAAATCACAACAGTAGTATACATGCTCATTTACACT